AAAGAAGCTAATAGAAACAAGTGCCACGCTAGTAGTAACAGGTGCCTTACTAGTAGTAACAAAGAAGCTAATAAAAACAAAGTAACATTTCACTGACTCGACTCGACTACGAAGGATCAGGTTCTCACAGTGTACAGTTGATTGTGATCGTCTGGCGCCTAGGCGTTGGATCATCAAGAATGGATACCTCAAGTACAAGCAGAGTCCACAGTACTGTGCTGGCTTGTCCTGTCCTGAGAGGGTCCTTGCGAAGGCCTCGTGTATTGATTGCATCATTCTTCTGCAAAGGCGCGAAGGAATAGTGAAAAACGGATGCTTGGCAGCACAAATGAAGGAATCTTGTGGATGCAGGGAGCATCTGCATTGAGATGAAGGGCCTTCATCACAAGAGCCATCTCCAAGGTGTGGACATCATCTTGTGGCATTGTGTGGGAGCCTCAGCGAAGTCTAAATGGAAGAACATGGCGTAGACGCTGACATACGCTGATTTGCGCCAAGACCAAGAAGGCACAACACAAGTTCAAAGCCGCGCCCTCACGCTTCAAATCGAAAGATTCTTCTTACTGCATTCATTTGCGTTCAGGATCCTACTTAGAGTCTAGAGTGTTTGTTTTCAAGAGCTGCACCAGTAGGTGAGTGGGAAGTACATCCAGTATGAGGCACGGATGAGCTTTACTTCTTATTGTTCTCGACTGCATTTCATGTCTGTGTCTATGTGTATATATATATATATAGATTGTAGACACACAGAGGTACTTTTGTAATTCTGCTGAATTTCCATTGGCAAAGGAAGATCTCAATGTCGGGTGCTTTTTGGATGTATTGCTTCCAGCAGACAGACGGATCCGTGCCTCAGGCTGATCCGTCCTACTGCCTCAGTGTTCGGGAAGGAAAGGTCTGATGCTCGGGAAAGACAGGAAGGGAACCTCTTGACTACAGATTAAAAACCACATATCCGATCATAGTTGATAGATGTTTATAGTGTATTTGTCCATGATTTCATTGAAGCACCGAGCAGTTGGACACTTGACCACAACCACCTGTTTCGAGCCTAACCTGATGTGATTTGAAGGCACGGACCTCTGCTTTTGAGCCAATCAAATTCTAAGGCTGGAGATGGATCTGACATCATTCTGTGGAAATGCGATGATGCCCCTGCCTTTCACTGGGTAAATCTGGCATCGTTTGCATCCACAAAAGCCCGGTCATTGACCGCATGTTGACACACCATACAGTGTTCTAATAATGTTTGCATGCCACAAGGGCATTCTGTGGCTGCGTGCAGTACCAGTTTCAGCAAAGTGGGTTTCTGTGTGCTTTCCATAGCTTCTTTTGACAGGACGTAGATGGTGAATTCATCAAGTACAAAGCAAAGCCACACTTCGTCATGAGTGTGTGCTGCCCCCAGACTATCAATGTGTGACAGGCCTGCATCATTTGCAGAGGATCTCTTCCGCAATGGAATGGATTTGAATTTGTATGCACTTAGCCAGAATTGTTGGGATACTTTTGCGGCCGATCCGGTTGATCGTGGTGGCCACGCTCGAAAGTGGGTGCCACTCTGAATACTCACTGCGGGTGGCTAAGACGGCAAGACAATGCCATGGACGGAGCGGATGTGATCCTTTGGGAAGCTGTGGGGAATCCCAGATTTTAGCACCGCATTGCCATGCGAATGATGGATGGTTGGATATTGCTAGGCTCTAAGGTGTACCGGGGTGTGTGCGCTATAACTGCAGTTTCAGTATTTTGAGGCTTCCATGCACGACAAATGGATCTTTGATGGTTGGTGCCTCAGACGGCATGTGGCAAAGTCGTAAAATGCAGGGGTTGAATGCGAGTGAGATGAGCACTTTCCAAGACGTCGACATTTTGCCAGCTTGAAGGCAAAGCAATCAAGATGAGTTCAGACCAGTCCATGTGCCTGGGATTAAGTGGGAAGCCCGGCTTTGCTGGTACCACACGATGCACTGACTTGCACACCTCATAGGTCACAAACCGGGTGACGGCACCAACGTGATCGTCTCCCGCTGTGGGATCATGGACCCTTGGCGGAAACGCAGAATGTGCATGTGAGGTAGGCGGGTCTTCCGGAGGGACCACCATAGGGCATTGCAAATGGTAAAGTGACTGGAGGTTGGCACCAGTTTCTCACGAAGACTGGCTTCCCCCTAGTGCAAGTGGGAAGAGGTTTGTAGCCATTGTCGTTTTGCTTGGCCAAGACGATTATGAGCCGATGGGTCAGAGATGGCAAGTTCATCAAATGGGACTCTGACCCAAGGCGCGAGAAAGCTCTGCTTGGCTTGCTATTTCAATTGAATGGATGTGAACGGTAGATCGAACCAATACTTACAGGGTAGATTTTAACAGTAGATGGCCTGACAACAAAACCAACTTTAAACAACCTTTTCATGACTTGATCTTGTAGAACGGGGCTTGAGCCCCTGCTGTTGGAGGTTGTGCCTCTCCATCCGCGAGGGGCGCATCATGGCTGGGCCACCCGAGGGGCGGTAGACCGTTCGACGAGAGTGGGAGCGCGACATGCGGAAGGATTTCTCTGAAAGGTGACCACTACCAGTGGCAAGAACCAAGATGGACCAAGGAATCACCCATGAGGCTTCAGCATGCTTCAGCTGTCATGCTTCAAGATGCCATGCTTTGCAGAGCTGAGGATGGACAGGACATCATTCTCTGGACATGCAATGACAGCCCGGAGTTCCATTGGGAGGTCTGTTGGGCCTTTTCCTTCCGTCAGTCTTTTAGAAGCTTGGACACATGGCTTTTTGCATCTTTTTGTGACTGAAAAGGAACGTTGCTCATTTTCAACATATTGCTTGGAACAGGTGTCCGGTTCTTACATCCAGCATGCGGCGAACCAGGCGCGATTCCGATTAGTGGAAAGATTGGTCGGTTTGGAAGAACCATCCAAGGAAGCTTAAATCAGGCATACTTGAACCAGAAGGTGAGTGTTTCAGGGCGACCGTAGAGAAGTAGCCGTGGTGCAAGGGTTTGATGCAACGCTCGGGATTTAGTGAATCTATTGCCAATTGCATGCACAGGCAACAATTTCAGTAGCCAAGTAGCTTGATATTTCAGGACTACTGCCTTTCTACTCGCAGAGCACTCAGCTGACCAGCAAGCTTCCACACCAATCAGATTCATATCAGTCAGCACCTTGTGAAGAAGGTGCGTTCTTTCAGCCCCAACTAATGTTCTGACACCGAATCACTTAGCATGTGACGACATGTCAGGATATACCACGATATCATTGTGCTTTCGTACGTTTAAGAGTTTGCGGATGAAGCTTAAGAAGTGCCAAGGTGAAGCGAGTGGACGCAGGGACCAAGCCAAAGCAATGCTTTGGTCCTGCAAGGCAACGATGACCGAGGATGTTCACCGAGGATCCGTCAAAAAGGAACATGGGGTGCCAGATCTTTGTGGATCTTTGGTCCAGTGGGTTGAGACATGTTCATGCATTGTTCAGATTTATTGAGTTTTGTTTGTCGAAGTCTCAGAGCTTTGCATATTTTCATCTTCAAAAAAACTGGTGGCCATGGCCAGGCCATGGAACCTCTGGGACTGCCGGTCAGCGCTGATCAGAGGCGGATCCAAACACTATACAGGGGTGTCTCGGCGTGTCTCGGCGTGTAGGGAGGTTCCCAGTTGGACCTCCTGGTAAAAGGACAAGTCGACTCAAATGAGATTCGTTGGGAATCTCTCTATTCTTCCAACACATACCACATGATTTGAACTAATAGCTGATGACAGAAGTAGTGGGACTCCCGTAGCGGCAGTCCTGGGACTCCCTGCAGTCTGGCCCGTTTTTCAACGGCAGGCAGCAGGCCATGGCCAGTGAGTGCCAACCCCAGCATCAAGACAAATAGACAGATGAATTATGCATAGTTATAAGTTAGTTATATATAAGTTGTAGAAGTGGATACGGCGAACACGGAAGTATGCCAGGGTAAACAGGGAAGTGGTCAACTGTTAACCTGTTCGCCCCGGCTAAATCCAATGTTCTCGGGGCCAATTAGCATCGAGGAACACTTGGCTCATCCAGGGATCTTTCTTGAAGTCCGCGTGGCAGCCTCAGATCTCTCTCTACCGGCAGCTTCGGTGTTTCGATGGATTTGTTGAAGCGCGTCTTGAAAGGTTATTCCCCAAACAGTGTGGTCACACTAGGGGTTCTTACCGGTTTGGTCAAGGCCGGGTTTGATCAAGGGTGCTCACTTGCTTGCGCGGCTATTTCACTGCCTGTTACAGCACATTCATGCCTCTCGAGATTCGAAGTGCATTTCGACTGTGCAGGCTCACGCAAACTAGTGGGCTGGAGTGGGTGCTTCTCGTTGTGGTCCCTGTGCATTTTCGGAGTTGGTGGTCACTTTTCATTAAAGCACTGTCCGGGTCCGTGTTTCCTGTGGCCGCGCTGTGTGCCCTGTTTTCTCCGCCTTGTCCAAGCCTTGTCTGGGATCCTACTGTGACGTCAGCGCTAGCAAGCTTCAATATATAGATGCCAAGGGGGAAAGAGGGCCACGAAAGGTCAATTGGTAGAAAGGGCCAATGCCTGAGCCTTCGCAGCTGCTCACTCACTTAGAGGCTCTTAGTTCACGGGCAATGACCAAACTCCAAACAACAGCATGTATACCCGGACGTGAGGTGGCAGTGTACCAGGTGCAAGACGCTTGGTAGTGCCACCCATTTCCATCTCAAGACGAAGTGGCAGCATCCATGCTTGCCGTGTTACAAGGGTAACTGACGACTGCGATGGCCGAACAAGGCTTTGTTTCCGGCTTCAAAGATTAAACAGTCTAAGCTTACTCAGTTTTGGGACCACATGACATTTTTGGAGGTGCAGCAAGCCCGCGGAAACTAAGGTTAGATGACAAGTACTGTGCTAGCGTCCGACAGGGGGGAGGCAGGTCTCGTTTTGGGAAAAGCATTGAGAGTCATTGAGAGTCAAACTTTTCTCCAACACTTTCAATCAACAGACTACACCATGTTCATTCGGCGTTGACCATCAGACCCGCGAATTGTTTTTCCTCCGATTTGAGCGCTCTACAACCACTTGGGGTTGGAATGTTTAGAGCGCTAGGTGACTGATGGTGCCGATATCATCATGTGGTGGATAGCCAAGATCAGAAAGTCACACATGGCCGGTTTTGGGATGGATTGTTGCCTTTCTCGGTGTCAAGGATGTGTTTAGAGACACAAGCACACAGAGCGCATGGGGAGTGCACGAATCCAGTCTTCTGGGCCGCATTTTGCTGAGGCATTGTCGGGATACCCACGAGTTCAAATGGACAGTGGAAGGCAATCAAATCAAGCCAGAGCCCCAGGGCCCCAGGGCCCCTCCCCAAAGCCTTTGACCAGCAACTTTGCGGACTGCGTCGAAATACAGGGCTAAGTCAGCTAATCCAAGACTAACTCAGCAATCGTGAACTGTTACGTAATGTTGACCAGTGACATCATGCTTATCAAGAGACAATTGATAATGCAGGCGTTTCTACAGCCAAGAAAGAGAAAGCTAGTAGGTTGGAGGCCATCGCTATTAGGTTGGAGGCCGTTACTACTAGTAGTAGAAGCTACTAGGTTGGAGGCCATCGCTAGCAGGTTGTAACGATTTCCAAGCTCCGAAGTCTAGGTTGGTATCGAATCCCAACTACTGCCGGGGACACAGAACACCTGCTACACCGATACAATGGGTTCACAATGTGTCAACTAGTCTGAATATATTGTATTACGTTTTTTTTTCCCACACAAGTGCGGGATGTTCAAGCCCGCTTGTACTTTAGTCAAAATTTATTTGGCAGGGCAAACATGGACCCCGCAGAGTTGCATTCTTTTGGACTTCGTGAACTTGACTGAGTTTGGCTCTACTCTGCCAACTTGCTCGACCACTGGTTTACAGCAGAATGAGAAAAACATGTTTGACAGGGTTCCGTAGGATCTGCAAGAGGCAAGGTCTTGTACAGTAATCTTGAACTTTCAAGAAGAACTTTTGTCCTGGTGGTGTATCATGCTTCAAACCAGTTCTACAATCAACCTTGCTTGGGCCCATAGAGCTTCACAGCCTGGTTGGCAAGGCATGGGTGTACGTGAGGGCAAGGCGGGTGATGGCGGGGCAACCCAGGATGGCTAGGCTGGTGAGGTGGTGATGAAGCGAAGAAGAGTTTTCCTCGCTTGACAGACTCAGCAGACTTTGCGAGGTGTGATGCAACGTTGTTGCAACGCTTTACTGTTTCTTCCTGTGCTCATTTGACATCTATAATTAGCAGTAATTAGCAGGACCTTCGAGGACCTTCCACAGCCACAATGCCAGATGGAAGCTGCTAATGGATCGCCATGGGTGACTGTTGTAGTCATTGTAGTCACATATTACGGCCATTTGGGGCTTCTCGACTTGAGAACAGCTTGATGTTCAAAGCCACCAGGACGCTTGTTGTTCGGCGGCCAAGCTTTGCGAAGTTCACTGGAGGGAACGAGCGGAACGAACTTGTCGCCATTCAGGCTCGGACGTCATCCTTTGGAGCTGCAACAGCGATCATGTGGGAAGCCTAGGGGATGGAGATAAAGAGCTTAATTGAGTGTATAGACTGTATAGAGGGACATCTATTAGAGCACCCAATTTCTTCCAATTGGGGGACACATGATTTGTAGTCTTCATTGACTGTATGCTTGAGATTATGGAAGCTTCACGTTAATAGATCGAAAGTCCGATGCTGATTTGGTTAGGCGAGCATAGGTGAGCAAGAAACTTGTTGAGTTGAGGCGGCTTTAGGACTTAATCAGGCCAGGATTAGGCACACACCAGCATCGCTTGAGCCCTTAGCTAGGCACGACCACAAAGGAAAACGCCACCACAGGCGGTCATTTGGACGTCAAGTCCCGCCTAACCGACGAGTCAGACTTGCCTCGTTTCACGAGTCATTGGCCAAATGACTCACCCTAGTAGCGTCCTTGCTCCGAGTAGCGATGCTCTTTGCTCCTAGTAGCTTCTTGTTAGCGGTTTTTTTCGCCATCACCTTGGATCGGTCGCCACCGAGGCCTTCCGGTGGAAGGTGGATGGTAGCTCCATTGTGCTCGGGAGCTCAGACGCGTGACGGACGGGCGGACGGGACAGAGGGAGTGGACTGACTGTAGCTGGCAAGCCAGCGTCAAGGAAGGAGGAGGGAAGCACCGAAATCCAGGTGCTGAAGATTGAGCAAACCGGTTGGTTTCAATCAATCAACCTGAAGCGGAGACTCAGTCGCTCAAGCATTGCTTGTTAAGAGTTGAAATGCCGACCTTCAAGTCTCTACTGTGGTCCACGGCAGACAGGGGTGCAAACCACCAAGGCTCGACGAGCCTTTCCCCCTCGTGTTCTTTTGGTTCATGAGCCTTTCAACCTCATCCCATCCATTCCCAGGTACAAAAGAGACCCAAGATACTTCATGACAGCCAGATGCCCAGTCTCCTGACTATTTTCTTGGAGTGAATGCTCATCCTGACCCTGCCTTGGTCTTAGGATTTTGAGAGAAGTATAGAGAAGGGTCTATGTTTGTTTTGGGGCTTTCAGAGTGACGGAGCATGAGCACGAAAGAGGAACACGCAAGAGCACAGGAGTAGGAGTTCAGTTGAGCCAACCTTCAGCCCATCATTCAGCATAGTCGAGTCATGTCAAGTGTTCTTCAGGTGAGACAGGGACGTATTGGAGATGGTGCTAACGTGATCCTGTGGCCGGTGGGCCCCAGTGACTGCCTGTTTTTTCAAAACGACAGGAGCTTCTTTGCACATTTGAGGAACCAGACAAATGCGAAAGGAGTCGAAGGGAGTCGCAGTCGAATGCTGAAAGTACTAAAGTCTTCAATTGTTCAATTGGCCGATTTCTGTGCACAGCGGATTGAGGTCTGGCTATATCAACCCCTTCCTCTTTACATTTGATGGCCACTTGTGGTGCTGGCTATTCCTTATTTGGGGTGTCCGAGCAATCTTGCGATTCTTTCCAACGTCGCTTGCACAGAGAACTTCCCATCATGCAAGAAGTTTTGCATGGACCGAAAAAGACACGCTTTGTAGGCGCACTGCTTTCGTGCTTCCTTGAGAAGGCAAAACACTAGGGCATCAGCGGAGGTTCCACTGGTCCCAATGGCGATGAACATCCACCAACACTTGATCAATGTTGACGCCTGAAATCTATCCCAACTAAGAGACCTCACCCGCCAGGATCAAACCAAAAGCAGATCCAAGCAAATGTGCAACTTGACGATGAATGCACCTTTGCAGTCGGAGGCAGGTTTGAAACAGAGTCAGAGATGAACATGGACGAGCTCAACGAAACTCGGCCTGTTTGCTAGACCAAATAGTTTTGGTGATGATCTTTGTCAAAAGAGATGCCAACCCTGAATATCCTTATGCAACTCATACACTTTTTCATTAAGTATACGTTTTGGGACTGGTTAGCAGTTAGTAAAGAACTTTGAAACATTCTTTCCCTTCCCAAAACCTTCGCGCCGCCTGACTTGGAACATTCGAAGTTGGACCTCGCAGGTGACTGAAGAAGGTTCCAAGGTCAAGATTTTGGTGTGTTTGGGCAGGTTCCCGTTTCGAGGCGCAACTTGCGCATATTTAACGCATCATCATGTTGCTTTTTTAAAGACGTTTTGGGGCAAGGAGAAACTCTGGTGTTGTGGCTTTTGGGTGGTTGTTTCGCAAAACCCCCGCAGAGGTTGAAGATCTCAGTTCCTTTTGGCAACCATGCAAAGGGAAGGTTCATAATATAAACAGGGGACTTCAAGATTGCAGGAGAGCAAAAGGCATAGTCACATTGCTTCTGACATGAAACTGGCTTTGCCCTCGACGCGCACAGTGGGCTGTTGGGGAAGCAATATATATAACAATTACAATATTACGTCAACATATGCTTGAACACCCTCTCCACCCAACCCACCATTGAGGTCTCTGTGCGAGAAAACAAAGTTGGTGATGGTCGCAGCCCAAGAAGATTTCCTCGTCACTAGCTGCCTAAAGTGACTTGAAGCTACTGAGACGAATGTGGCCAGGCTCCGACATCATCCTTTGGTCCTGCAGTAACATTTTCGAGCAAGTGAGCCAATTCTTAAACCAGTCAAACAAGGTGGAGAAGGCCGGTGACATTGTAAGAGCTTCCATAAAAGGTGGCCAGAGAGAATGCCTCGGACTTCACAATGAGTCTAACTTCTGAGTGCGAGGATGGCTTCCGTTGGATGGTGTCGCATGAGCACATTGTGTGTGGCACTCGGAAGCCTCACACCTGCCTCGGTCCTTTGCAGGACCAGCTGATTCTGCTGTGGTTTTGTTGGCACAAGGGCATCGCTACTAGTAACAAGGGGTAGCTAGGGCATTACTACTAGCAGTAAGATTGCTACTACTAGTATTTGTTTTCACCCGCTTCGCTGATTCGAGCCAAGGCTCGACCATGGAACAAACAATCACTGCCTCTCGGTGAGGGAAGGCAACGCTCAGGCGAAAGTGCAAGCACAAATTCTCCCTTTGAACCGCCTTGCGATGAGCAGGGTCTGAGCAATACAAAAGTCACTATAGTTGGTTCCCCTTCAGTTTGAATAGTTTGGTGCTCACCAAGTAAGACCTTTTTTCTTTTTTTCTCACTCAATTGGTGTGTCCGTGGGTGTCTTTGCAGGATGGACAAGACATCATTCTTTGGACCTGCGGCGATGGATATGCAGATCGATGGGCCGGACCCTTGCAGATCGATCGGCGTGTCGAAGCGTTCCGCAGTCGATGCTGGGCATCGACCGATGCTGGGCATCTGAGGTGATTGATGGAGAGCGCATCAGATATAAGGAGGGCTCGGGCATCGCGGTATGCGAGCTGGGTGAGTTGGGTTGGTGAAACCTGATGGGAGACGCCAATTTCAGGTCACGAAAGGTAGCGTCTCAATCAGAGCAATGAGCCACATTATCCCACTTCGACCAAGGGGAAGGACATTTGGCAACCAAAACTGCAAAGCCGACGCCAACAAGAAACCAATGTCCTCCCAATGACCATGCTGGCCAAACTGCATATTAGACCACTAGGGCCCAGGATGGCCCAGGGCTCACAGAATTTGAGGATGTCCTTGAGCTACATATTCAATTGGTCTTAATCACGAAAGCTAGCCTTAGCTAGCTGGAGTTGCTCTTGCTTTAGCAAGTTAAGTGACGGGGTGGACGCACCTCAGAAACCTCAAATAATTGATTAAATCAATCTTATGGACCCCCCCCCCCCCCCCCC